CGTCACAGCTTCACCCGTGAACTCCGTTAATTTTTTATTCAAATATTATTGTTTAATGTGATCGGAAAGTAAATATAAAAAAACGGTTAATGAAAACGAATTGAAATTTTTCTAACGTTATAAATGATAAAAATAAATACAGATAAAAAAGAAATAATTTATGGTTGAAAAAAGAAAAGAAAGATAGAAAAAAAAAGAATTAAAATAAGAATTTTATAAGACTTCTGAGTATATGATGTTTTTTGTTATATTTCCTGTTGAAATTAAAATCATAAGATGATTCGGGTCCCCAGTTCGAGAAAATGCCACGTATAATTGCCCATGTGAAAAGCACTCTGTACGAAGATCTACGCCAACGTACTTGAATGTTTGACCTTGCGCTTTGTTTATGGTAATGGCAAAAGAAACTTTAACCGGGAATTGAAGCCGTTTGAAAAAAAAACGGCAAGTCAGAGGGAATCATGGGAATTCTTGGAATAAATGCAATTTCTCCTTTTGCTGGCCCTGTAAGAATTACGGCTTCTATAATATTATTTCGCAACGATTTTATTTGTTATCTTGTACCGTTACATAAGTTCGGTGGTTGAAGATTACGTAATAATGTAATTGGAGCACCCATTTTTAATTTTAGCTTATGAGGAGGAAATCCCGAAGGAGAAAGAGAATTGAGAAATTCTTGCGGAAAATGAATAGCATCATCTTTTGATGTAACTGTATCAATAGATAGATATTCACGTGAGTGTCCATCGATGTTCTATTCAATGATGATATCAGTAATTTCTCCTGCTGTTACATTTCTCGGAGAGATAATAGCTCTTTCACATAACCACTGATAAGATTTATTGGACAGATTAAAAATGTCAGGATAAACTGTAGAAATCAACTCTTCCACTTTATTGACCACCCGTCCAATCGTGTGATTGACAGAAATGTAACCATTTTCATTTTCTAAAGTTCCATTTCCAATTTTCAACAACTGTGCTGGAAAAATATCGTCCCCTCTCCTTAAATAAACTCTCATGTTTGTTCGCAAATAAAGTTTTTCAACATAGTTCCATATAGGAGAAGATTTAAAGCAAGCATTAACGACATCAGCCCGAGTACCTTTAGAGATTACTGGTAAGGTTTGACGGAAATCACCAGCGAAAACAAATGTTATATTACCCATAAACTTATTATTACACCTTTCAGAAATCATTTTTGCCATCATATCTACGGCGAATTGGCTAAATAATGTTTTGTAATAATGTAGATGATTTAGACTTGTTTCTCTAACCATAAACCTATAAGAATAAAATTGCATGCAGGAGACAGTTTTTGTTCGATTTTGGTTATTTTTCTGTAAAATATTAATGTGATAACCGTCTTCGCCTCTAGTATACATCAATGGATATTGCAGTGCATCATAAGATCTATTCAATTCGGAAACTCGACTCAAGTGTCCACTCCGACCATGCAGAACTATATCTCAGGGACCTTTATCTTCATTAACTAATAATACAGCTACTTCATCGATAGTAGGTGCATTATATTGACCTCTGTGTTCATCTTGAGGAACTCTGTCAGCATGAATAATTAACTTAAAGTTTTGCGACTCATCAAAAGACCTCGACTCCAGATTAGATCTGAAGCTCTGTATGAGGTGATATTTTCACGCAAAACTGTTTGCAATGATTCAATGAGACCTCTTTTTAAATTTGGAATCATATTTGTTCGAATAGATATTCGATCCGACTCTGACATAAAATATATTTGTAAAAATTTAGCATTATTTCCAATTTCGGGTAATAAACTACCTATTAAATGATGCACTTGACCCTGAATTTTAAAAGAGGGCATGAAGTTCTCTTCAGCTATTTCGTTTGCTCCAAACGATGTCATTTGAAACAGAGTATTATACCGTCTAGAATTATCAAAGAAATGTTTTGATAGAGGGTAAGAATTATCAATTAAACTTTTAATTAGGTCTAGAAGATCCTCAAATCAGTGTAAAACAACTTTACCGTCAGCGCAGCAAAGTCCATGGGTTTCATCTTTCCATTTTTTTGCATGGCACTTAGGACATAATATAGTCATTCGTCCAATTTGAAGCGCTTTAATATTTAAATAATCAATCTCGGATTGATAATTAAACGAAGATTTCATACTCAAAGCGTTACGTTGCTCCTGTACAAGTGTTTGAGAACGTTCTGATGTGTTATTTTGTTGCCTTCTGTTATACATTCGAGTTGCATTGACAGTTCTTCTGCCAATGCGTGCTCTTTGCGCTCTCGGCATGATAATGAATTGGCCACTTACCCGCAGTAGGTATTGCATATTATATTAGCGATTAATAATGTAGGTATAAAAATAGATAAAACACTATTTGCGGAAAAACGCGTTCGGCGTCAGGCAGATCGTAACACTATTAAATAATAGTGTTAATAAATACTATTCATAATCGATGGTAACACGTTCGTTGGCAAGAATATTATTACATAAGAGTATTTTTCGATAACGCAAAACGTGATCGATATTTTCCATAATCTTCTTATAATATTAAAACTATTATTAATTTCGGCAAATGTTTTTGGTTGCGCGTGTACTATTGATGAATGTCAATTAAATCATTTAATGACCTGTTAGATATCAAACACTATACAAAGGTCAAGTTGCAGGTAGCTGTAAACCCGCGGCCCGCTTACAAAGCCGCTAACACGCAACTCTTCTACAATTGTTTTTAATTTTTTATGAACTTTTTTGCTGATAAAAGTGGTACTAAAACCTTCAGCAGGGTTTTAGCCAACAAAAATTTCAGCCAAATCGGTTCAGTAATTTTCTCGGTTAGCGCGGTCGAAGAAAAACCCTTACAATTTTATATATAGTATAGATAGATAGATAGCTATTCATAATCAAAAATTAATATAATCAAGAAGTCATACAAAAGAACAGAAAAATCAATTCTTCGCATTTAAACAAATAATAACGTTACAGTTGACAAAAATAAAAATTATAAAGAAACATTGTAAATAAAATCAATATAAATATTAAAAAGTATTTATATTTATCAAACAGTTTGTTCTTTTTATTTGCCTAATATTAATATGATAAAAATTCTTAATTAAATTGTTTTTGATTTTATCAACTAAGCAAATCAGTAATTTACAAAACTAAAGGAAATTAATTAGTTCAGAAGTACATTTTTGTTTTGTTTATTATGTATAAGTACTATTATTACTTTAATTTTAAAACATATACAACGTAAGGCATTAAAAAATGATGGAATTTTATTTTAAGGTAACAAATTAAAACAATTGATTTTTTATTAATCAATACATAATACAACACTTTATTAAAGATATTGTAAGATAGTCTAATAATGTCCACACCCAATTCATTGTATAATTAGTTACATTTTAATTTTTGAACATAATAGTCAATAAATTACAAATACATATATTTTATTTTTTATAGTTTAAGTATATTTAAGTTTCATTATTTAAAATATAACTATACAGCACAAAATTTTATCATTAAGAGAATAGTATTAAATACAAAAGGGAGGACACTATTAAAAATCAAATTAAAAAAAATTGGATTACTCTGCGAAAGACCGCATGAGCACACCATTTAAATGATTTTATTATTACTAGAATTCGCAATACAATCCACTTTAATATTTTCCTAAACCAATAATCAAATCGACTAATTATAAATTATAAATTACTATTGATGAGTTATTAATTAATTATGAAATCTATCTTAAACCCGAATAAACCCAAACTATGATACGAAATATTTCGAAAATTAAAAATTCATAAATTATGAAAACGAAAGTATTTGAAAGCAATACTATAAAAATGTTGTTGAAATAAAAGTGTTATATGTTTAGTTTTGTTTTAGAAATGTTAACTCGAGTGCATGAATTTTTCGGTTCACTCGTTTTCGTTAAATATATAAAGGAAGAGAACGAACACGTCCGCAATATGATCGCAACACACATAAGAACACACAACGGTTCGCTGGTCTCCGCTGCGGTTGGCCAACTTTCGGACACGTACAGTAATTGCTCTGTATACAAATAATAGGTTTCTATGGGTATTCATGTGCTACAAAGATAATTTCACAAAACCAGTATACTGAAATACATACAATATTATCAATCGAACCACATCTATCATCCGTTTAACTTGTTAAAAATAGGTACAATGTACGACCGTATGTAGCTTGAAACTTGGAGGAAAACAATAAATAAAACACTGCAATACACTAGTCGCGAAATTTGAATTTCTAGTTTATAAAATATAAATACAAAGACCATGATAATATACATTACTGAGCATACTCAAGAAACACACACACTGGTAATTTTATAAATTATATTTTAACATATTATGGTCGAAAATATTATAGTTTTTCATGATTACTTTTGTGTAATCTAAATATCAACTTAACAATACGTATTATTAAAAGAAAATCGCATACCTTACCAATTTATTTTCTAAGTCTCATATTAAAATTGATTAACCGAAATTAAATATGATACAATTTCTAAACGAGTAATAGTAAGAAAATAAAACTAAGTTATTAAATATATTTGGTATCTTTGGTATCGGTACACACTGAAAATCACCAAACACTTCTATCTATAAAGCATATAATTATACAAGTAACAAGATTAGTATAAATTACGAAATGTAAAATTTAATGAAAAATGTAATTTTACTTTTCAATTTAATATAAAAATATTGGCAGGAAACTAAACAAGCTTAATTCATAGGCCTAAGTGTTTTATGTTAGTGTTTTTATAAACAACATGTTACTCAAACCAGTTTTACAATTGAAATTATTACGAACAAGTTATTCTTATTTTCAATGAAAAATACTTACACTACTGAATCCAAAAGTCGTAAAATTAATTTAATGATATTTCGGTGTGTTTAACAAAAACAGTCGGTCAATTTAAAATGTATGCGTTCAATATAAGTATAATTGTATATAAATATGTATAAATTGCTTACCGGGTCGCCGAAAAAACCTGTAGATTCCTTCATTCCATTAGGCCTGTGAATGTCGTCTCTTCATAACTCCTGTAAAAATATAAGTAAAATCTTTGTAGAATAAATGATTACATAAACTTTATTATTTTTACGGTCCATAAACTATAGACTCGTACAGTAAGTACCTAAACCTATTTATTCTTCCCTAACAATATTTCTGACAAACCATACTAATACGCCAAAAATCTGAACAAAAGCCAAGTTGACCAAAAGCTTGTATATTTTAACAAAGTAACAACAGCTTATATAGATAAAGGAAATTTAAATTCCAATGCCCGAATGCATATACTATTAGGAAAATCAACAGTCAGTTAACGTCAAATGCAGTGCCTAACAGTTAGAAACAATTACATTCAATAACGTGATTAATAATCACGTTGGTGATAGTTAAAACTGAATCACTGTAAGAAGTCAATTTAGAAACTTATCTTGCTTAACACGTTGTTATTTTTGTATTTAGTTTCGTTCTTAATGAATATATGGTATCAGAAAAACTATCCAAAGCCATATATGGTTATTTGCGAATAATATTATGTACTTTAGAGATAATCCTGTGATGGCCTAGAAAATAAATATTTTACGTTGTACATACTCTGCGCATTACAAATACCGTACTTTATTAATCAAAACAGTAAGCTTCTCCGATCACGTACGGTAGTGTCCGTTAGAAATCGATTGATTTTTCAAATCACGTCCGACCTTAATCCAACCAAGATTTAAGTGAGAAAACGGTATATATACTTATCCGCTAACTTTATCGAAGGTAATGACAGTTTACAGTTTACTGGTAAAGAAACACTAATAATTGGTGAAAATAACAAAAAAAAAAATGTTATTCTAAATGTCCAACAAATAACCATTAAAATGTTACTTAATCGACATAAAATATTTACACTTTGACTAGGAATCTCAAATACTTTTTCCAAACTAATAAACATATCATGGGAAAATACAATAGTTAATTCTTAAATATAATATATATAGGTAATATTTCATTGTATTATAGATGAAATAATTCGTAAAAATGATATTTTCATATGAATTTTTATAAAATAATTGATATTATTTAATATGCAATATTAAAAGTTTATGTTGATCAAATAAACTCAAAACAAAGAATACTATAAAGAGATTTAATATTACAAAATTAAAATACTAGCTAATTATATTTTTAATTATTAAAATAAATATGTTTCAAATTTCTTTCATGCTGTTTTTAAATATCTTACCAAAAAATATGGTCTTATAAATATCTTCACCACAAACGGTAAAATTCAAGTTTGATAGAAATGATTTTCAGAAATGGTACGATATCTCTACATACTGTAGTCAATAAAATGTAATTTTTTTATCAACTTCTTAAAAACATAAAATAAGATAGTCATTTATAAGAGAAGCTCCAAGTTTCATTATGGAACAATAAAACTGATCAAATATTTAACTCTTGTACTATTTTAGAAATTCAACAAACGTTGGATTAATCATTAATTTAATAATTTAACATTAATTAATCATTGGACTGTACTTTCCCTTAATAATTACAAATGTATGATTTGTAATATTAAAGTTAGTTAAAAAGTGTTTTAGATTAATACCTTAAGTAACATCCCTCTAATATAATTTTTTTTAAAAAAATCTAGATTTTATCTTATATATATATATATATATATAATGAATAAAACTATGTAAATATGCCAAAAGCAATACTTGGTATATAGCCAGAAATAATTTTTTTTCGTTTATTATCAATGAAAAATGGGATCACAATAAAGATAAAGGACAAAATACAGCAAAATAATTTTCTTTATAAACATTTTTCAGTGATGTTTCTTTATTTATGGCTCAAAATTGAGGTGAGGTTAAAATAATTAGGGGCAGATTTTATCCATATAAAAAATTTCAAAGAAAATATTTATATAATCAAGACATTTTAACAATTTTTTTTTGAACATAAAAATTAAAAATTATTAAGTTAAAAAGAATAATAATTTAGTTAATGATTTATTTATACTTCAGCTATTTATATATTTTTTACATTTACAAACAGAATTTTAATAAAAAATGTGATTATCGTCAAATCAGATTATTTTTTACAAAGTGCGCAACAAACAAATTGTTATTTTTAGAAGAATTCTATCATGAAACATCATATAATAGGATCATGAACAACTTATTAATTTAATTAAATCTAGGTAGCTATTAAAATCAATATGATAATTCATTTTTCATAATTTGAAAATGTTTAAAGGATAATTTGTAATAATTTTAGTTTGAAACTATCTAAGATAAAAAATATTAATGGGTACCTATTTCATTTAATTATCACGGTAATTTTTACCGACCATAAATTAGAAAAATTTTCATCTTGAATCAAAACAAGAATTTAGTAAGATATTGTAAGTAGGTATATCTGTTTACTTTTTGACAACATGTGTAACATAAATACAACTATTAAATTAAACTAATATTAAATTAATTAATTATTTGAATTACATTATTTATATACATAATTCATAATTTTATTTAATGATATTATTTTTAATACAATTCAAATTATAAATAATGAAAAGTAATAAATTGATTTAGAAATGAAAAAAATTAATTGTCCAGCAAAATATACTATTAATTAATCTAAATAGTAAAATATTCTGTCAATTCATCCAATTAAAAAAAAAAATTCATGATATGATTTTTACTTAACTTGAATAAATCATATCTATAGTTATACACGCCAAGACCCAAAAATGCAATATTATATGTAGAATACACGTTATAAATTATTTACAAATGGTTCACAGAATAATTCAATATACAATAAATGAATTTTCTAAAATACACTATAATTTTTTTTAAATTCAATCTCACATCACCTTTAAAACCCACTAATTATTTTGTTAACAAATAGAATCATTAACACGTTACCGAAAATGTGAAAAAAATTAAAAGCCTAATTACTAAGGATTTACAAAGGATTTCGAATTTCAATAAAGATAATACATATAGTTTCACTAAAAAAAAAAAAAAAAAAAAAAAACGAAAGTTTTTAAAATTAATATATTTAATATAAAAATTTTTGAATTATAATAGTTATCAAGTTACATTAAAATGGACCAACAAATTTAAACGGATTTCTCTCAAATAGGTCGCTCTCTCACTCTCTTTCTCTTTGGCTCGCTTCCTTCTCCTTCTCACGCTTTCTTTTATAGAAATATAAAAGGCAACAAAAAAACCGAATAATTATATATAACCCACAAACAATATTTGCATAAATATTTTATCTTGGATAAAAAAAAAAAAAAAAAAAAAACTAAAAACATAACTTTTAAACAAATTAGGGTAATTCGACGTATCTATAATAATACAAAATAATAATAAATAATATATAATACTTATTTAACAAGTGAGAATTTCCGAAATAGATATTTAGTTATGCTACACAACTTATATTAAGTATACCTTAAATATATATTTGGTACTACTACATTACACTCACTCACACACACATAAATAATATTTATTAAACATAAAGTTCAAATTGGGGGTTAAAAAGAAGGGACTGTGAGTATATATTCTCCCAAAAGTAATGCAAGAAACAAATTATACTTTGTATTTTTTCATTTTGAAGAACAACTATGATATCATATAATTTGTGGTTAAAAACAAACTTGTGAAAGCCGTTAAGTAATAACTAATAATCGAATACAAATATAAATATAATATAATAATATAAACAAATGAATTGTGTTAAATTATGTTTTTTTAAAAAAACGATAAGAAATAAAAATAATAAAGCAAAGCAAAAAATAATTTATTTTTCAAATAAATGCAAGTTAGTTTGTGGGGTGAAGAGGAAAAAAGCACACATTCAACCGGCACTCGCGTGTACGACATTTTTGTATGGGTATCCCGGACGGATACGGTAAACGAGGGACGTCTGGTGGCGTTATCGTAGGACCGGCCGGCAACGTCGCGCACTCGAACACATACACGAGGGCGTACCCGTGATTGATTGCTGAACGTTATTTCTTGGACGTCTGTTGTCATTTCCATTGGACCGAAAAAGGTCGGGCAACGGACAGAACGCATAAATAAATGCGAGCAAGTTTACAGATTCAAATCGGATGCTTAAGGAAAAGTTTCCATTAGACCCATTGTTCGTATGTGACGTGTTATTGGATTTTAATGATAGGACCTGCGTAGTAATGTACACGGCGAATAAACGCACCACCGAAGGATTGTATAGATCGAGTGCATGAGAGCACGGTTATGTTTGAAGGGATAATAGTCTTCCGGGAACTATTTGGCTTATTTAAATTTTAGGAGAAAGTATTTGTTTTAAAGCAAACATTCTCTAGACACACTCGTAGTAATAGACCTCTGAAGTTTTAAGTGCCTTATAAGGTATTCAAAATCCCTGTTTAAGGTATATTTATTATGCCCGAAACCCCGTAAAAATTATTGCCGTCATTGCTCGAGAAAGAGACATTTTTTACCGTTGAATGACGTTAGCCCTTAGTTACAATTGCTGTACAAAATAATCAAGGAATGCGCTATAATATAACCGAGTTATGCACAAAATTGGAAGGACCAAATTAAAAAAAAATTAAGTAATACATATTTTTGAGTTAAATAAAATGTACCTAAAAAGCAAACATATGCTTAAAATTATTGAACGTTTTATTAAATATTTTTGAAAATTATTGAAAAATATTATTATAGAAGTATGAATTGTACTAAAAACTATAATTTATTAAATTTATTATTGTTAAATAAAAAAACGAACACCTCTACAGAGGTAAACATTTACATTTATATAAACATTTCCTTTACATGCAAAGGATTTAACACATGAAATCAAGTAGTCTACCAACATCGTCCAATTTTTTTAAATCATCGTTGTATTCCTAACTTATAGCTCTCTCTAATGTATGTAACTCCGAATTTCAGTCTTACTTATCAGTGAGAACTATATAGCAGACTATTTAAATTACATAAATCGATAAATATAATTGAAATCTTATAAATTCATG